CCCTCTTAGCCAATGACAGCAAGGTTTGCAAATCAGAACCAAATCTGAGCACAGCACTGCACTTGAGTGAGCTGTGCTAATCTAAGACAAGCTTCTGTTTCCTACTTGGAGCTTCTCTCCTGTGCTCTCGTTTGGCACATGTATGGTACTGTGTGCTGACAGACACCTTTGAGGCACAGATCAGTTAAAGAAGTGTGTGTGGTGGCTACTGCTCCGGGCTTGGTATTTTGTGTGCTTATTGGCTACCTACTTGTGGTTAGGAAGTAGGTGTTTGGAGTCATGTAGGCTGGAGAGGACTCCTGCATTTGTGAATTAACATCCATAATGGAGTGGTGTTGGGTCCTTTTTGTGTGCTCCTATGATCAGACAAAAAGCTTAATCTGCCAATGGAAGTATTCCCCATAAGAAGTCACGGAGTGCAAGCAGTGTGTGAGCAGAACGTTTTAGATAGCGAATACGTTGAACTGATACAACCCCGGGTAGCCCAGCGCTGCGGTTTGCATAAAAGCAGACCCTTAAAGACCGTGCGGTCTCATCTTCCATCAGCAACTCAATGACTGACTTTCACTTTCCTTACAGTAAGAGAATTGATAGAGAAGAGAATTTGCCATCAGTTTTCTCTCTCTGCATTTTTCCAGACAGTTTGGCCTCAACGAATTGTACAGCCTCCCTCTACGCTGCGTGGGAGAGTACAGACTGCTGCTGGCGGCAAGGAGGAGAGATTAACATTCATCTGTTCTCTCCTCGCTCTCTTTTCCATCCCGTGGGCATGGGAGACTTATGAATGTGCCGCTCCTTCGGGGAGCATTTCTACTCATTGCCCTGATGACAAGACCACAGAGACACTGATATGGTTGTGCAAGTTTCACATTGCTGATTAAATAGGCATACGAAAAAGTCAAGTGCAGTAGCTCTCTGGAAGAGGTCAGAGAAGAAGATGGAAGGACTGGAATAAGCCTTAGGTCACTTGCTTGCTGAGAGGTCTCATTTTCCAGAGTCCATGTGCATTGAGGGCTTAATGCAAAGTCTGCCTCCTCACTTGGGTCTTCCATGAAAACTGTGTTTTGCAAGAGCTCTGTGCCAAGCAGAGATATTTACTTCTTTAATTTTTACTCTGTGTTTTAATGTTGCATGTATAGCCAGGAAATCTGATGAAGAATATATGGGAACAAATGTTGTGGGGTTTTGTGTTGGTTTTTTGTTGGTTTTTTGGTTTTTTTTTTGTTGGTTTTGGTTTTGGTTTTTGTTTTGATTTTGTTTTTTGTTTTCGTTTGGGTTTTTTGTTTGTTTGTTTGGGTTTTTTGTTTTGTTTTTTCTTTGTTTTTTTAAGAAAAGTATTTTCCAGTGTGGAAGTTAAAGTTGATGTTGTGTATGCGTGTACAATCATAGCAGTGGTGATAACACTCAAACGCAGGATTAGGAGATTTACTTTCACTTTGTGGCACTGGCAGGGACAGGAAAGATTTTGCAAACAAATGTTTGTGAACCATCCTGCCGCAAGGGGAGCTCTCAGCTGGCATCATCCTCCGGTATCCATTTACCATCCATAGGAGTCAGGTACCGCGGCTGGGTGCACACCGTGAGGGGGTGATCCCTCTGCTCGCTTCCTGCTGCATGAGCAGCAGGCTCAGGCTGTCTGGGCAGAAACAGCAATTGTTGTCCTCAGTGTCTCATGCTGATACCAAATTAAAGGGTCTCTCTCAAGTAAGAGCCAGGCATTCTTTCCCCCACTGTTGCCCATCCTAAATGGGGAGGGGTTGATAGTTAGCATTTACTAATTTAGGACTGCGGAAGGTTTGTTCTCAATGAAATGCAATCAGGAGATCTTGCTCCTCCTTCAGTTAGTAGTCCCTGCAGGACAGAGGGCAATAGGCCTCTTCCCATCCTTTCCCACTGCCTAATGGGATGTGATGAGGCAAGTGCCACCGCCATGGTGGCCTGGAGGTGATGGAGCTGCTGGTGTGGGTGGTGGTTTGCGAGAATCACAGAATCTGGGAAGTCTTACAAGTGTGCAACCAGCATCCTGCATGAGGCGGTGGAAGAGTACAAATGCAATTTATTTTGAAAAATATAGTGAGGATTTTACCTGGGATAGCATATGTATTGCATACATTGGCAGGGAATTTCTAAGAGCTTGTTTGAACTTTTAGAAGGATGTTGCTAACAGGAATCAAGTGTGATGAGGTCAGTACAAGAGGAACAAAACCTTCCATTCAGATAAGAGCAGGGGAAGAGAAACACTGCCACGTGTGGGACTGGTTCAGGCTAAACTGGTCCGTGCAGTAATTTCTGCAGCTCTTCAGAAACATACTATGGGCTTGAGCTTCCCAGCTCAGGCAGGTCTACGTTCACGTTCCAGGCTTTGGGATAGCAGGAACGTCACCATCTGTGTCCTACTTCATTTGAAAAAGAAAATTAAAAAAAATCCTGAATGCCAGCCATCTGCTGATATCACATCCAGATTTTATCCTTGTATCTGGGGGCAGAGGAGGAAGATGGTTTCTGTGGGGAGAGGCACTATGCAGAGAGAAAGAGCTGCCTGCATCTGGGGGTGCTGCTGGATCCAGAAACCAGGAGAGGAGCAGGTTGCCTTGACGTCTCAGTCCAGCTACCTTCTGTAGTACTACAACAGTCCAGCCTTGAGAGAGTGCAGCTGAGTCCAATCCTGCCAACAGAGTCTACAACACTTGGTTTATGGATTATTAAGAGGAGATCTATGAAGTGGATGCAGAGTGATGGGTAGTTAAGAGCCACCATATTGATGTCTGACACAAAAAGATAAGTCAAGGCTTTTTCCTTGTAGCCTGGTCATTGGGCATAATGTTGTTTTGGAAATAGATTAGGAAGTGTTTTTCTACAGACTGGCTATTAAAATAGGCCCACTATCTTGATGGGAACTAACACAGGCCCTCGGCTGGACACAGGAAATGAGCAGACTTGCTTTTTTTAAATCCTTTTTATCCCAGATATCCCCCAGTAAATGCCTAGTGAGTTTTGATTTGCTTATGAAAGTGCTTTTTCTGAAGTAAAGGTGTCATTTTTCTACGCTGTATTTCTCTTTTCCTTTGTATTATAGAAGTTGAGTTCTGTTTCTGTCCGGATAGGTCTGTGTGAATGTGAACACAAGTAAGGCAGTAGAGAGTTAAAAAAAAAAAATCCATTAATTAAAATATTTGCATTGGGAGCTGCAAAACATTTACTCTGAGTAAAACAAACTTCCCCATTGTTGTTGTATGATTGCTACAGTTGCTCTGAAAATAGCCAGGAAGAGGTTGTGCTCTGAGGAATTTTACTGGATTGGCAGGGGAATAGAAGGGTGGGGATACTGAAGGGGGCTCTTGGTCAGTGGCTCTGTTTTGTTCAAATCTTTCCGTAATGTAGACAAAATTTTGATCTCTTCTTTATAGGAAAAAAAGAAATTTAAAAACCTCACAATGGTGGAACTATGTTGTCATATTATTCTGGTAATGCCAAAAATTAATGATCATCAGTAGAATCTGAGAAAATGGTATTTACAGGATGAAAGATTTATTTTTTTAGCACTTAAAGTGTATACTAACATGCACTTGAAGAAAGGGGGAAAAGGAAGCATCCCAGATTAGGCAGTTTGGACCCTGGCCCACAGGCAGCACTCCTGGCTGGGGACCCATGTGGTGCCATCCCCGTTGTGCTGGTGGTGAAATGGCAGCACAGCGTGGTGGAGGCTGTCACCTTTCTGTGGCAGTGAACACCTGTGGGGTCCCGCTGGGGTCTGTCGGCATCGCAGCTGCTCCATGTTCAAGGAAAGCCAAGCGAGTGTGCATCCAGTTTTGTACTTTAGGCACAGGGATACTCTTCAGTAGCATCACTATAGGAAAAGTAAGCAGACATGAAAACTGTTTGCTTCAAGTCCTTTAATTCCTGCCATATGTCCCCCAGATGACTGGATTGAAAAATTCAGCATTAGTTGTTTGCTTTTTTTAATGGTGTTCTCTGGTATGGTGTGCCATTTCATTGTTGCACATTCCTGACCTTTTCCAGCCTGGCAGTGGACTAACAGGCCTTATGGGCAGGACACTGAAAAGGCTAAAAGGGTGTGTGAAGGGGTTGGTTTGGCTTTTTAGGTCCTCGTTTCACATTTCTCACTCTAGGCAGACTCTTAGTGGTTTTCAGGGTTGCCAGATGGGAAGTCTCTCTTCTGCCCTAGTGACTCACGGACTGGCTGGGTTGCAGGTCATGTCATATTTTCTTAATTGTACCATGGATAAGTGTTTGTTCAAGCCCAAATCTGTCATGACTGTAAATTTTATTGACAGTTCTAAGATTGCAAATTTGCTGGTTATGTGTGCAGTAGTCTTTCCTCTGATCCCAAGTATGCCAGACTGCATTATGTTTACCTATATTATAAAAACACCTTGATTGCTTTGAAAGGTTGGTTTGTAAAGGTGTTAAGAAATTAAATGTACTTGTTCAGGGTGGGTGTCATTTAAACTTGAGCATGAGAGTTTTGTTCCATCAGTTTCTTGCATGCTTTACTGTGTTTAAGAAAGGCTGCTGCTGACAGTTTCTTGGCCTGGAGATAAAAGGTGCTGCTTACCCAGGTTTGATACTCTGATGGAAAATTGTCTCCACGATGTATAACACTGCTGGGATTATTTCTAGCCATTACCATTGGTCTCATTTTACAACCATTCACATTATGTAATTTGATGCTCATTTAATTTCATGAGAGGATGCTGCAGACTTACTTACGACTCGGCAGGGCAACCTGTACACTTTGACCACCTCTGTTATCCTTGCCAAAGGAGGAAGAGCATGTTTCTTACAGAACATGTTATAACGTCTTTAATACCTTTATATCCAGGTTTCCCAGATTGCTGCAGACAGGAGGGCGACTTGCCCGGAGTGTAGATTATACTGGAATGGCGGGAGAAATTTAGGGTTTTTTTTCTTGAACTGCTTATTAGACTTTTGTTGTAAGGTTATCGGGAGGTATTAATGGGCTTTTTCTTTTGTTGCAGATGGAATTTTATGACTCGCTGTATTTTGAATAGGACAAGGAGATGTGTCTGATAAGGTAAGAGAGAGGGTAAGATAAACATGTTCCTATACAAAATCGTCTCACTGGTTTGATTTTGGGTTGAAGACAACCATTTCTTTCCCTGACAGAACCCTGCAAATAATTGAGATGTTTATTTTTCAGTTACATCTGTCTCTGACTCTCCAAGCAGAGACCACCTCTGTTCTATACAGCTTCTGACCCAGTCCTTTCTCCTTGTGAACTGATGTACAAATTTAGAAGACAAAAACATACGCCCTTTCAGGCATAGGGCTTAGCAAGATAGATCGTACTTATGCTACTGTTTTAGAGCTTTTTTTTTTAAAGTAACAGATGAGATAGAAAAGTTTTTGTTCAGTTTTGAGATATTGCCTCCCCCACCCCTATCCCAGATATTTGAAAGGTAAAAAGATTTCAAGCTGGTTTAACTTCAACACTTTAAACCTTGTTTTTCTTGTAGTATTTTCAAATTTGGACTCTTTTTATTAGGACAGAGTCTATATGAGTAGAAAACCTCTAGATTTGAGTATTTGTTGTCACTAGCGTGGTGAAGGAAGCTGCGAGTTTGCTGATTCTTTTTAAATTTATTTATTTGTTTTTATTAATAGCATTTTTTAACGGCAGTGTTTATATAGATACTTTCTTTCCTTTCAGTTTCTGCTTCAGAGGCTTCCACCGGTAGAGAGTAGATGTCTTCAGAACTCTTAGGTGTTGGGATAACCGTATTCAAACAACAAACAGCCAAACAAAGAAGTAGTATTATACAGGGATTGTCACTGTCTTTCAGTATACGATCCACACTGTAGCTATCCAGCTCTATCACTTGTGTGTTTCATTTTTGTCTCCCCTTTCTTCCTGAGCTCTGTGCCATTTACAGGCCTCAAAAATCCCTATTGTTCTTTTTGGCTCTTGGTTGGAAAATGTAGTGGAAACAGTTAAATGCATCATTGTATGAGGACCAGGACTAAAAGACTTTTTCCTTGGATTCAGAGATTTAGCTGTTGTAGATGCTCTTGAGGTTTTTTGGTTTATGGGTTTTGGTTTTGTTTGGGTTTTTTTCCATTTATGTTTTGTTTGCTAAGTAGAGTTAGCCTTTGGAGGGTAGCTGCCCAAGCAAGAACTCAAAACTTTGAATGACTCTTGGCATTGTGTGAGGTATGCAAGAATCAAAGGCTTGTTTACTTCTTAGGTTTTTTTGCAAGTATTAAGCATTTTGTCCATTTAAACTACCCCTCTTTCATGCCATTGTTGGATCTTGTTATGAATATTTTATATAAAGGCTCTACACTAAGGTGGTCTTGTATGCACATAGTTGGTAAAATACAGCTCTCCAGGTGAGAGGCCTTGCAGTCTGCAGCTCTGTTACACAAAGCACCTTCAATGCATACCTCATTTGTTATGTAAACGAGCTGCTTCACTTGCACGTGTTCCAACCGGTCCTCCTATGCTCCGAGAATGGGTAATTAAAGTTGCTTTCAGGACTTAGAGTATTTTCAGCCACTTAGAGTATCTTCAGCCCGACCTGCACTGGCACCTCTCCGCAGGCATGCAGGCTGTTCAGCTGCCATCCCGTTGCATGCCTGCCACCGGCACTGATGCAGCTGGAGGCTGAGGGATGCCCACTGTGCCTTTGCCACTGGGGTGCTTTTGTCAAAAAGCAGCATGACCAGAATGGGATAGGTAGAAGTGCTTATGTTCTGGCTGGTTTGTTCAGATACAGTTGACCAAGAGGTGTGTTTGTCCAGTGTCAGTGCAATGTGGGGGACTTTGGTGTGCGTGTGGGATAACAATTTACTTATTCAGCTGCTAGTATTTTCTGAAGATGTTATCCTCCTGTATTATATGTATATTATATAGTGTATGTTGTTCAGTACTGTTCTCTTCTGTGAAACGGATATTGATAAATCCGTGTTATACTGTTATACTGTCTTTCCCAGGGCAACCTCACTCTTCCTTTTCGTGTAAAACAGGCACTGAGGAGGCTCTGTTTCTAGCAAGTTCTGCAACTTGAGGCAGTGAGGCCTCTCACCACTGCTTTATTGCCTGCCCCAGGCACGTGCAAATTGTAAGCCAGATCCCAGCAATCACAGAACTGGCTTTAAAATGAGATACTGGGAGGAAGAAGTAGCACTTCCCACTGGCTCTCATCTTTCACCTATAGAAGAAAATATTCTGTCTGCGTTTTGTGTAATGCCTTCTCAGGATAAAATATAATCCTGAGCTGGGAATGTGTGTCTTGTTCGCCTTTCTTTGAGAGGGCTTTGTTTATCCTTTCCCCAGCAGCCTGGGCTAGGGAAATGCAGCTGTCCCGTGCTTGTCCTCCTGTGTTATAAGAAGTGGCTGTCCTGGTCATGTTCCTTTTCAAGGCCACAGTTGTCAGGTGTCCCTCTTTCTTTCAGCTATCCCTAGCTACTGTGGATGGCATCAGCGTTACTTATTTATTTCTTATTTTTTTTTAACCTTCTGCTTCCTTTCTGCGTTCTCTCACCGCATTTACATTTAGGTTTTCATCCTTCCAGGCAGGCATCTGAATCCTGCCCCAAATGTGCCCTTGAATCCTGTCAGTATCTCCTGTCCATGTTTTTTGTTGGTTGCTAACATTTTTCATGGGTATTTCCTGACCCATTCCCTGCTGTTTCTTCTTCTGGAGGAGTCCTTCTGAAGCATTCCCGTGTTTCTTGCTGCCGTTCCAATTAAAGGGGTTGCTATGTTTTGGTCCCATTTAAAGCAATGATAGATGGTCCAGTCTGTACAAAGAATAATCTCGGTTTAATCCTAGCCATGATGACTTCCTTGTAATGGTTGGCTTTTGGCATCCGTCCTATTGATTATGTGATGAGGTAGAATTAAAAAAAATGAATAATAGCTCTTTTAGTATGCCTGAAGCCTAGTGATGAAATTATGAGACTTGGCAAGCTTGCAGCGATGTTGATAGGTGCCAGACCTCTCACCCAATATTTTCTTTTCCTTCCCCCATATTTCCCTATGCCTTTATCTTACTTCCTTCCAAGGAACTTGGAGCCCTTGTGAACTGCAAGTCAGGTTTCACGTAAGGTGTGCCTGATAGCTCGGATCATAAATATAAAATTGTTCTGTAAGACCTAATCTATTTTCAGAGGTATGTTTATAAGGTAAAAATTACTTTGATCGCTGAAACAGCATTGTGTCATTTTTGAAAGGAAATGACAAGGAAGTAACTTATCAGGCCTATTTTCACCCGCCGTTAGCTTAGACCTGACAAATTGCAGCTCCAAAGACTTGTGCCTTAGCAGTTCCAAATTAGGTTGCCAATTAATATTGATTATCTGAAAAGCAGTAGGTTGATATATATTCTATTATTAATAGCTGTTAATGCACTTTATAATACCAATCTGTTTTGCAGACATTTTCTGGTTGTTCTTTTTTAATGAGTCTTGGCAGTGAAAACCATGTTTTTACACATGCAGAACCACAGTAACTTGTTGAAGTGTTTGTGGGGGAGGGGGGGTTGTAGGGTTTGGTTTTTTTTTTTTTCATTTTGGGTGTGTTTGTGTTCTTGTTTACTGTAACACTTAATTTTGATGAGACCAAATAGAGGCAAAGTCCAGTAATTATTTCTGTCTAAACTGGTACATTGTGGTTTCTTCTTGTGTTAGTGTGTATCAGTGCAAAACTCTTGCATCACTACTAGATGAGTTTTAATAACTTCCTTTGACATTGCCTATGAGTATTTTTGTCTCCACAGAAGCCATCTTAGGAAAACTTTCAAAATAAGAAAGATAATTTGAATAAAACAGTAAGAGGTAATTTGAGTTCCTTTTCTTGTGTTATTTAGCTGTTATGTCGCAATATGTGGAAAGTACCTGGAAAGCACAGGGAGAAGAATGGGAAATATCTCATGCATAAGGAAAAGCCTCTAACAGTGTGTGGGGGTAGACTATATACATAAATGTAGACATCAAGGTAAATGCTTTTTCCTCTTTTTTACTTCCAGAAAATTTGAATATTTGCACAATCTGATGTTACAAGTTGTAAATGCTTAGCACTTCTAAAAGAATAAATTACTTCAGTGCCTGAATGTGTAGATAACTGTCAGCTTCAAAGGATCAAGTGAGTTGGAAGGAATGTCTGGAGAACTTGGTATAGGCAGGTATCAGGAAGAATATAGAAAGCAGGGGAATATATTCAATTAATATAACAGAGTCCTAGATGTAAGTTTATGTATAAATTAAGACTAATTATGTTACAAAAAGCGAATTTCTGTGGTTCTGCTTTTAGCATAAAAGTGGAATATTCACTTCCCTCTCCCCATCTCTGTCATACTGTGTTTCCCAATCTGCTTGTTGTAAGAATTGTTCTGCTTCTGTAAAAATTGAGTTGGAAAATTAACCTATTTAATACTTTTCAAACTACCCTTAGAAAAAAGGCTACCTTTGGCTTTCGAATATCCTTGTTGTGAGGTGGCTGGTTCTGTAAGATATAAGTAACTCTGAACTCTTGACTAAGCAATTAAGAGAAACTGAAATCAGTACTGTAAAATGTGCCTTAAATCTATGGGGCTGAGATTGAAAGAGCTGTTGTTCTTGAGAAGTGAACTGATCTGGAGTTTCCCTTGAGCACGTAAAGCACAAAGATAAGGTGTAATTTAGGTTCGTAGTCTCTGGGTTGCCTGTCTCCTGTCTTGCACTGCACCCAGTGAGGCAATGCAGGGTGCTAAACCTGGCCAGAATTACTTGCTTAGACTTCTCCTTAGGGTTATTTTTCTGACCCAAGTGTTCTGGGCTTCAGCAGATACACAAGCACAAGGGGATTGTCAGGGCAGACCATGGGGGTTGCAACTGCCCCTGTGGGGTGAGTGCCCACCAGAGCAAGTCTGTGGGGTGATGTGAGCATCACTGCTGCTCGTCACTGAGCCCACCACCACGCTCCCTTCATCCTTCCATGATGTTAGTGGTGTGACTGGAGCTCCTAGACATGGTGAGGAGAGCAGGTGACCCTCTCCCTCGTGAGCACACGGTAGCAGCTCTGTGGCTGTGGAC